GCACCTGTAATTCCTGCTACTCAGGAGGCTGGGGTAAGGATGGCTTAAGTCCAAGAGTTCTAAAACCAGCCTGGACAAAATAGTGAAACTCATCTCAAAAAACAAAACAAAACAAAAAAAACCAGCCGGGCTCAGTGGCTCAGCCTGGAATCCCAGCACTTTGGGAGGCCAAGGTGAGTGGATTGCCTGAGCCCACGGGTTCGAGACCCGCCTGGACAACTTGGTGAGACTTCATTTCTACAATAAATCAAAAAATCAGCCGGGCGTGGTAGCGCATGCCTGTAATTCCGGCTACTTGGAAGGCTGATGCGGAAGGATCACCGGAGCCCAGCAGGTCGAGGCTGCGGTGGCCGGGAGCGGCCACTACCCTCCGGTCTGGGCGACAGAGTGAGACTCCAACTCAAAACAAAGAAAACTATTTTATATTATCATTACAAATAAAATAAACATATTATTCACCAGAAAATGTTGAATCTAAGTTAAAGATTTTATTGTATTCCCCAAATCTCTTTTTAAGAAAGGAAAAAAATGCAAGAAACAACTGATAAAGATGAAAATATACTGGTCATATTTTAAAAGAACAATGCATACCTGATGAATAGAACGGAAAAATTAGTATTGTGATTTTTATTTTTGTTTTTTTGTTTTGAGTCAGAGTCTCACTTAGTCGCCCAGACAGACTGGAGGGCAGTGGCCGCTCCCGGCCACCGCAGCCTCGACCTGCTGGGCTCCGGAGATCCTTCCGCCGCAGCCTTCCAGGTAGCTGGAACTACAGGCACGCGCTACCAGTCTGGGTGACAGAGTGAGACTCCAACTCAAAAAAAAAAAAAGAAAAAAACTATTTTAAGGTGAACAATTGTCCTTCAAGTTAGTTTTTCATAACGTTTGTTCATATCTATATGAATTTGTCTTAGAGTAAATATAGATGTTTGTATATAACAATTAACCAAACACCAGACTTTACAGCAGGAAAGAACAATGAACACTTGTATAAATCAGCAATACCGTGATCCTTGAGACTGGTGCCTGGGTGGATTCTATTACCAAACGAAGTTGTTGACCAGGCTGCCTCTAAGGGTAGAGAACAGACACAACCAGAGCTCAGTAGACATAATTATCATTTTATTTATTTGTTTGTTTATTTATTTATTTATTTATTTTTTGAGTTGGAGTCTCACTCTGTCCAACCCAGACAGGAGTGCAGTGGCTGCTCCCGGCCACTGCAGCCTCGACCTGCTGGGCTCCAGCGATCCTTCTGCCTCAGCCTTCCAAGTAGCTGGAACTACAGGCGTACGCTACCACGCCTGGCTCATTTTGATTTATTTAAAGATGAGGTCTTGCCAAGTTGCCCAGGCGGGTCTCGAACCCGCGGGCTCAGGCAATCCACTCACCTCAGCCTCTCAAAGGTGTGGGATTACAGGTTGAGCCACCGAGCCCGGCTTCATTTTATGTATTAATGACCTATTTTAATTTATTATCATAAATGGTATGTGATGAACACATATAGGCAGACACTACCAATTAGCCTACTTCTTGGAAGCATAACCAGAGGTTAATTTAGCAATCTGTAGACTGTTCTTCCCATAAAATTGGGTCATTTTAGGAATGTCCACAACAGGGAAGATTACCAGATGTGTGGATGATGGCTTGGCTACCACTAAAGGTTGAGAATTAGTTAATATAAGAAAGGTCATGAGTCTTAGCTGGAGATAAAGTGTGAAAATATTGGCTGAGCTTAACTTCTTTATATTAAACACAAAAGTTTACTTTACCAATAGCTATAATCAAGGAAGAACCTAATGAAAATGTTAAAGGATCATATATAATCTTGTTAAATTATAAAATCATGAAGCAGGAACTAAAAAGGCAGTTTATTTACTTAAGATAAATTAACTCCCCCAAATGTTTATAAGCACACCAATGCATACTCCAGCCTATCTACTTAGTTCTTAGTTTTGTGCACATAATTATTGTTGGGCAGGGCCCAGCACACAATGAATATTCAATGAACATTAGTTGAATAAACTAGTGAACTTCTCTTTATAGTTTCCCATCTATAAAACTGTGACAAAATAAGATTTAATGGCATATAATTAAAAACTGTATTTGAACATAGCCTTTCTTCTAAAACATATCTGTGAAACTTAAAAGACAAATTGACTAAATATCCCTTTGATTTTTTAAAATCATATTGAAAGAAGAGCACTAGAACATTTGAGTTACGTCTGTAAGATAATAAAGCCAATCAACGTTAAGTGAAAACTTAACCTGCTCTTGTGACCTAGGATGTTAAACAACTATTATATGACTGATTTTTAAAGTCATTGTTTACACTGACTATTTACTGGCACATCAAGAAGAGCCTTATTTTCAGAATTTCTCTTTCTCTCTGACAGTCATGGGCAACAGAACTCCCAATTTACAGGTGGAGAAACTCATGCACAAGGAGTGTAGTGTGTTTAGTTACAGGTATGGGGCCACAGCAACATGAGCAACCAAGGAAATGCAAATCTGTAATGATGAGGTCAAGGTTGTGTTGAACAATAAACATGTATGATGCTTATAAGAAAATATGCATAATCCCCTGTAAAAGGTCCTTCACTCTAAGAAAGACTGTTTATCTTGTAAAATGATGACTGTTCCACCCATAGCCACACAAACACTCTATGTGGCTAAAATCTTCCAGCACAGTCCATGCTTCCTTTGGCATTCTCAGGGTGTGCATCTACACAAAACTTTCTCCATTTGTCCTCACTTCTTGAAAAACCAGAAAGGTTATCAGGTTGGTTCTTGACCACACACAGCACATCTGCCTGGAAGCAACTGTGGAATCACTGTGTACTGAACACATCTGGCAACGATTCAGACAGGACACTAACTGATTACAAGGAGAATTACCATCTGCAAGATTATTTCTCTATAAACAAAGGCACAAAAATAAAAGCTAAACAAACAGCAAACAGAAAAGAATAGTTCACAACGAAATAGAACTGTTAAAATTTATTTTCTTCCATTGAAGAAGCATTTCATCATGATAAGAATTCAGTTTTTTCTATAATCCATATAAAATTACATTCTTTAACAACAAAAAACAAAAAGATGAGGCTGGATGGATGCAGTAGGGCTCACACCTGTAATCCCACCACTTTAGGAGACCAAGGCAGGAGAATTGCTTGAACCCAGGGGTTTGAGACCAGTCTACACAATATAGTGAGGACTTGTCTCCACAAAAAAAAAAATTTGCTGGGCATGGTGGCACATGCCTCTAGTCCCAACTGCTTGGGAGGCTGAGGTGGAAGGACCACCTGAGTCTAGGAGTTAGAGGCTGCAGTGAGCTGTGATCATGTCACTACACTCCAACCTGGGTGACAGAGTGAGACCTCGACTCAAAAAACAAAACAAAACAAAACTGAGCTAGGGACCAGGATGTGGAGAGAGGAGCCAGGCTCTGACAAGAGCTCTGGAGGAAAGTCCTGTGCTGCTCCAGGCCCTGGGCCTGGCATTCTCTCTGCTCCTGGTTGCTTCTACAGGCCCTGGACTATCTGTCTCCTTGCCTTTTCAACGGCAACACCAAACACTTCTGACTCAGACAACTCTATCCTTGCTTCTGTCCTCTAAAGCTAACACACTGTTCCCTTGATGTTGTTCCCAGGTTTTAAGGCTTGAAACAAATTTTACAAAAGGTAAAAACTCCTCTTATGCCACAACCGTGCAAATTTCTTTGCTTAAAATGTAGTTTGTTTTTAGAGTGAGTAAAGGATGAAGGCCACCCACACATACACATACTATCATAGCTCTTGCAGCTCTTAAAAGACGGCAGTGAAATTATCCATATTTTAGATCAGGGGCTGGTCAAGTTTTTCTTTTTTTTTTTGAGTTGGAGTCTCACTCTGTCACCCAGCCTCGACCTGCTGGGCTCCAGTGATCCTTCCGCCTCAGCCTTCCAAGTAGCTGGAACTACATGCATGTGCTACCACGCCCAGCTAATTTTTGATTTATTGTAGAGATGAGGTCTCGCCAAGTTGTCCGGTGGGTCTTGAACCCATGGGCTCAGGCAATCCATTCACCTCAGCCTCCCAAAGTGCTGGGATTACAGGCTGAGTCACCGAGCCTGGCCAAGTTTTTTTTTGTAAAGTGCTGAATAGCAAACATCTTAGGCTGTGCAGTTCATGTGGTCTCTGCCACACTACGACTCTACCACTGCAGAAGTGGCCACAAGCTGCCTTGGAAAGTGAGTCAACTAAGAGTGGGCTGTGTTCCAATAAATGCTATTTACAAAAACAGGTGGCAGGCTACAGTATCCCAGTTCCCATATTAAGAGAAATATATACCGCCCACCCTTTTCTGGGATTAGAAGTTGGATAGTACTCGAGCTGTATAAGGGAATGAGAAAGGGTCAGGTACCAGAGCAGCAGCCTGACTCCGTTCTAGGGGTGAGGATGGGCTGAGGAAGAGGAGAAATAGTGGGCAGGAGTGAGCACGAGGTAGGAAGAAAGGCAGAAAAGGAGAGGAAGTCAATGGGTCTTCAGGTCCCCCAGAGGAGGCCTGTCCAGAGACGGTGGTGGTGGATGCATGAGGGGCAGACACTTGGTTTCTAATCCTCCCACAT